AGGTAGAAACAAGTCTACTACGCCAAGGACCAGTGATCGAATCCCATGCTCAAGATTTTTTTATTGTTTTTTTTTGTCGCTGGTTTTTATGATGTTTCCAAAGTACATGTTATAAGACCAGTATTTAGTTGTATAAGCTCCGCGTCTTGCGCTTTTTAGGTTGTATAAATGTATTAAATGATGTATATTAAAGTATTAGTGATTCTTTGCGTTAGTCATTACAAAGTATTTTCAACTTCTTTATGACAAGCCGTGTTGCTTGGGTCCGAAATGAAAGTTTCGGGCGTGTTGTCCAGAATCTGGACGACCGCTCCAGACCATTCTGGAAGGTAGCCAAGGTCCTGAAAAATCATCCCAAACCCGTTCCACCTCTCAAAGTCGAAAATGATGACGATCGGCTTTTAATCACCCCACAGGAGAAAGCAAATGCGATCGGTAAGCATGTCGCTTCATCGCATTTGATTGGCTCGACTATCCAAAGTCCGCTCGATGATCAGGTTGCGCAATGCGTTCAAAACCTAGATGTCTCCCCTTGTGTCGTGCCTCCGGCGGATATGATTACAGTACAACAGACTTGCTCAGCGCTGAAATGCACCAAGAACATGAAGGCTCCCGGGTTTGACGGTATATTTAACTTGATCTTGAAGAGACTCAGCATGAAAGTTCAGTCTCTTCTAACCGCTATCTTCAACAAATGTTTGGAACTGCACTACTTTCCAAGCATCTGGAAAATAGCAAAAATCGTACCAATCCGCAAACCCGGTAAGGATCCAACATTGTCTTCAAGCTACACACCGTTCGAAAAATTCATGTAAATTTCTGCGAAATATTGCGCACATAAATTTAACGCCAGATTTGGCATAAATTTACGCGATATTTCGGGTAAATTTAAGCGCAATATCGCATAAATTAGCAATATCGTATGCAAGCTTGGAAACGATTCCACTGTTTATGCCAAGTGTAGCTCAAAATTAAACGGAGGGAGATTTTACGCGATAGTTAAAATTCAGAATTTTTTTCTGTGCAGACCAATCAGCCTCCTTTCAGCGCTGAGCAAATTGTTCGAGAAACTCATTCTCAATCGTTTGCTCTAGTTTGTCGAGGAACATAACATTCGCCTTCCGGAACAGTTTGGGTTCATAAAGGGGCACTCCACCAATCACCAGCTAGTGCGGGTGATGAATAACATCCGAAGAAACAAAGCTAAATCCAAGTCCACAGCCTTGGCCTTGTTAGACGTTGAGAAAGCGTTTGATAATGTCTGGCACATTGGGCTTGTACAAGCTTTGTAACTTCAATTTTCCATTACATCTGGTTAAAATCACCCGTAGCTACCTCCAGCAAAGGTCGTTTAAGGTATCATTGAATGGTTGTCTTTCCGACACGTTTTCCATCCCAGCAGAAGTCCCGCAAGGCAGTCTGCTGGGTCCCTTGCTTTACAGCATTTACACTTCCGACATTCCTCCCCTTGGAGACGGTTGCGTGTTTTTTCTGTTCGCAGATGATACCGCAATAGCCGTCAAAGGAAGGATGCCTCGCGAAATAACGAACAAACTTCAACGATGCCTTAACGCCTTTGCTGATTATGCCACCACGTGGAAAATCAAAATCAATGCCTCCAAAACACAAGCGATCATGTTCCTCCATCGGCAATCGCCCAAACTGAACCCGGCTCCATCTTGTACTGTAATCATGAATGGCACAAGGGTTGAGTGGTCTTCCGAAGTAACCTATCTCGGGATGTTGTTCGATGAAAAGCTCCTCTTCCGTTCGCATGTGGAGAAAACCGTAATCAAGTGTTCTGCCTTGGTTAGGTGTCTGTATCCGCTGATTTGCCGCAGATCCCGCCTCTCAAGGGTGAACAAACTGGCCGTCTACAAACAAATCATAGCACCTGCGATCCTCTACGCAGCTCCGGTGTGGGAATCATGTGCACAGACTCACAGTAACAAAATCCAGGTCCTTTTGACACTAGAATAACAAATTCACACGAAGAGGCAGGCATTGCCAAAATAGATTCCAGAATTAACGAAATTAAGACTAAATATAGTAGATTAGGTGTATATAGTAGTTGTAGGTTAGTTGTAGTTGTAAATAGTAGTTATAAGTAGCCTCCTTTTTCAACTTTTAAAACAAACCAATCCCACCAAGGTGGTCATTCTCTAAAACAGGCCTGATAGGACTAGGAACTGTAATTAATAATAATTGAAATTTCACAGGAACTAAAGTTGAAAAGACGCATCTGTGTCACTTGATAAGTTATACATGTAAACCACACAAATTCAAGAAATATAGATCATTTTAAGTCGTCTCTGATTATTTTCGCTTTGGACGGCGTGGCGCTAGCAAATCCGCACAGATGTTAACGCCCCTTCAGTTCACCATCTACTGGTTGATTCTGGAGAAATTCAATTTAATTTGTAACAACCTATGGAGTTATGAATTTTGGTTAAACCAATTTTTACCAGCGCTAATTTAGTCCAAGAAAGTCTAAGAAACTTCTTCTTAAAGCTCATTATTATAAAGAAAAAAAAAATTTGTTTTAATGATTAACGTTATTTTGATTTTATGTTTACAAAAATAGCTCACTTTTAACTAATTTTCCCATAAACATGGTTCACTTTAGAACGTCCACAAGAGGAATGTTTACTTACATTTTCAAAGTTTTTGTGCAGTTTAATACTGCTGAAAGATGTTAACTTCTTGCTAGCAGAATATTATTGCATTAATTTAATTGAAAAGATTGAATATTTTGCAAAATTTCTAAAGTATATTTGTATCATGGTTGGACCTAGTTATTTCTTGCATTGGCTGTCATGTGTGCTTCAGTTTTTTTTACAATTTCCTTCGAACGCAGCAACATAATTTTCTGTTTACTTTCCTAGTCACAACTTTCTTAAACAGAGCATAGAGGAAGTAGTTGAATTCTCATGTGATTTGAAGCATCGCATAATGGATTAAGATCCAAAAATTTCCTAGGGGGTTTCTTATAATTGACTGGATCCTGGCTATTTCTAATAACTGCCATTCAATGGTTTTAGATCATATTCAGAAACTGGCCACTTTTTAAAGTGGATTGAAACATGGCCAGGTGTGGCCAATGTGGAACAGGGCCCTTAAAATGACTACAATTGAACTTTGAGGTGTAACATGATAAGTTTTATTCGTTTGAGGTCACAATTTGCCTCATGCCTTCAATAATTAAATCCCCCTAATTTTTAATTAATGTTGTACTAAGCACCTACCTATTGGAAACCAAACGTTTGATTTGAGAAAAAACACAGTATTCTACTTTGCATCATTCTACGAACACGCTGTAATCTACATAATGACGATGCATTATAATTTTATGTTAGGGTTGTCCTCCAAATTGGAGAACAAAGAGGTGCTTAAACCCCGTATGTTCGTTATACCCCTTCCTCCCCTACTTCGTTGACATATGAACCAACATTTTGTTCAATATTTAAAGTACCGTCTTCTGACAAGTAAAACAACTGCCTGTTGCGTTATCATAAAATGCAATCTTCACATTCTTCTCTGCTTCAGAAATCTAATTTAAAACTAATGATGGAGCCACTGAAAATAAAAATTAATGTATTTTTTGGCAATTGTTTTACTCCACAACATGCATGGCAGCTTTGTGGACTATACTGGGATGCTACTCCAATTCCACATTTGAATTTTCATAGTTTATTACATTTCAGAAAAAAATACTTGAACCAACATTAAACCATAACCGAAACAATGAAATACTTGAAAAGATTAAGACAAAGTAAAGTAGTCAAAAATGCATGACATACCTACATCAATTTTGCCTAGTTCATCGTCATGCTGCGGTCGTGTCTAGGACACAATCCTTTATTTTTTTTTTTATAGAGATTTTTTTTTTTGCCGAAAGGAAAATGCATGAATATTAACAAATTTTGTGCTGTGTTGACATAAACCATCGCAAATTGTGATAATGGTTTTGGCATGGTTAGGCATCGTGATTCTCAGGACATATATTGCGGAGAAGTTGCCTCATGGTGCTGGATTTAGATGTATTGCATCACCTGTCCCTTCTCGTGAGACTTGAATATGCTCTGTACTTATGTTAAATGATGAAAATTAATCTCGTAAAACTTGCATTGTGCACATCAGGTTATGCAATTACTTTGCAATTAATAACCGTTCCAATTGGCAATGATTATCTCTCACATCAGGTAATTCAATATCCGCTCAACATAAAGTCGTTTCAGTAGCTCTGGGGCATGGCAGGGTCATCACGAATTCGCTTCAATCAAGGAAGCATACCATTTACGAACCGAGTGCGCCCCTTTTCTCTACTGCATCTCACGGGTAGGAAACGTAGCATGGCAAAAGGGACACCTAAATTGAGTTGTATGTGGCCTCATAAGGATATCTATGTAGCGCACACGGGTACGGGGCAAAACAATCACAGGCTTCATAAAATGTATACAGAAAAGAATGAGTTCGCTCATAATGAAAAATGGAAGGATAAAAGATAAAAATAAAATACAGAAGAACTACGGCAGCACCACCGTTCCGGCAGCTTCTCGGCGGTAGGAGCTGGAAGCACATAGCAGCAAAAGTAGCAACAGCAGCAGCATAAAAGCGAAGAGGATCCGCACACACGTACGTCCTATCCGTGTGCTCGCAGGTTCTATGGTAGCGTTTCATGGGGAATAGGGACGGCTGGTGCTCGTGCCATCTTCGTCACGCAATCTATGCAATCCGTCGGTTGGCAGTGAAGTGTGCAGCACACAAAAGGCTGCCATTGGATGGAATGCAGGCACAGTGGGCGTTAACGTTTACCCCCACCACTCGTTGGCTGGAGCTGGTCTCACTCTCACTTCCTAAGCAGCCTACTGCGGTGCTGCGGGATTCTCTCACTCTCTGCCTCCTCACCATCACTCGCTCACTCTCTTTCTCATTCAGTGCACACAGAAGTGACTTCCCTGGAAGTTTCGTTAGTAGCAAATCAGTTTGTACCGACAACTTGTTGTCTAAACATCTAGTTTCAAAGCCAATACCAAAAAAAGAAGGGTCTACGAACCTAGGCGACAGCTTTTCGTGAACGCGATCGTTTTTTTTTTTGCTTATGCACCGTGGATACAGGACGGAGTGGTGCAACATAGTATTAATTGAAAATAAACGATTGTGGGTCGGTACGAGATACAGAGGGACAGAAGGAGAGAGAGAGAGAGTGACACGTGTGTTTGTGCATTTATTGGCTTTATGTATCCGCATCGTGAAACGGCGGATGAAGGCACGGATCCCTTGATCTATGAGGGCAAAAGGATAACGAGCAAAGGATATCGGAAGGCAGCTTCAGTTATGCTACAGCTTCGGAACAGTGAGCAGTGCTTCCGTTGATTGTGTGTGAGCTCCGTGAGCGAAGACAGAAAGGACAATAGGTTATCAGTGACTGGCTATAAGCGAGCGATAGTAGTGAATGAACTTTGTTTGAAACCGTGCCAGCGGAAGAGTTTTTTTTAGAAAATTGTGGAACATTGGCGAGTGCCAGCGGCATTAAGATGTCTATTAATTCATCACGATCGTCAACGTCATCCTGCAGTGAAATCAGCATTGAGGAGTTGAAAATCAGATCGCCAGGTAATTTTGGATTAGATGAATGTGATTGTTCGACGGTGTTATTCAAATTGTTTGGAATCCAGAGTGTTACTAACATAATCTCTTCGGTCTCTATTCACTTTTGCAGATTTCCCGCCGGAAATATTAGCCGTGATCAAACAAGAGCCTCGGTCGACGGTATCACCCATATTAACTCCACCGCATACGCCTACCGAGGACAGTATTAATACAACACCGGCGGTGATCACTTCACGCCACTATTTTGATATGGAACAAAACCGGTCTCCGGCTCAACATCAACACATGTCTCACCATACCCCACATCCACATCCCCAACATCATCAACATCATCAAAACAATCACCATCAGCAGGAGGTGCCGAGTGCCTTCTTTCCTCAGCGATCCACCGAGCACGGTCAGCCACCTTCGATGGAGGCCTTCCTCTACCAGCAGCAGCAAGCTCAGCAGCAGCAGCAACAGCAACAGCGGCAGCAGCAACAACAACAACAGCAGCAGCAGCAAGCTCAACAGCAGCACCGCCTATGGCTCCAAACTCAGGCGGCGGCAGCCGCTCAACAGCACCTCCATCAAACCGGTTATCCCCTTCCCGGCTACCCTCAGATTCCCGCGTCAGTTGCCGCCCACCAATCGCACGCCCTCATGCAACAGTGGATCCGCAGTGCTGCTATCTACCGGCAACACTTCCAGGGATATCCTGGAGATCTCACCCGGATTCCCGTCCTCGGCCGTCCCGTCAACCCAATGAAAGCCCCTGGTCATGGTAGTTCCCGTCCAAAGAAACAATTCATCTGCAAGTACTGCCATCGACACTTTACCAAGTCCTACAACCTCCTGATCCACGAGCGAACGCATACCGATGAGCGGCCCTACTCATGCGACATCTGTGGGAAGGCTTTCCGTCGCCAAGATCACCTTCGGGACCACCGCTACATCCACTCCAAAGAAAAACCCTTCAAGTGTTCCGACTGTGGAAAGGGCTTCTGCCAATCGCGAACCCTAGCCGTCCACAAGGTCACTCACCTGGAAGAAGCACCGCACAAGTGCAACATCTGCAACCGGACGTTTAATCAGCGAGCTAACCTCAAGACGCACATGCAAAGTCACGCCCTTTCGGAAGCCACCCCAAACAGTCCGGTGTTAGATCTTTCGCAAAAATCAACCCCTTCCTCGCCGGACAAAGACATCATCGTAGACGAGGAGGAGATTGACGTCGAAGAAGATGACGATGAGGAGCATCACCTCCATCTCCTTGGAACCTCCACCGGTGCCAACCGGCCCAAGAAATCGCTTGGGTTCTCGATTGATGAGATCATGAAGCGGTAATTTGATACGTTTGGTAATTACCCATTTACAGTGATGTTCCTTACAGTCCGAGCGAGTGAGAGATTAGTTGGTTCTGAGTTTTTGTTGTTGACTTTATATTCGTTTCCTTTATTGTGGAAGATTTTATTTACCCCATAATTGTTGCGAGGTTAGCAAACTTAAAAGAGAGGGAGAGGGAGAGAGAGAGGAATGACGAATGATATCCCAAAGCATAGGACAAGATAAAAAAACCACTACTATGACGAAAGCGGAGAGGATAGAAAGTAACTTAATGACCTAGAAAAAAAAAACAGATCAACGCAACGAAAGCAGCCAAAGAAGAGTAATAGCTGGTATCCCCCAAAAATCCCCTTTAATTATATTTCGATGGGATGGGACCCGTAAACTGTGTCACGCTCTGAGCAGGGCGATGACTTTTAATCAAATTTGACGTAATTTATGGGATCTCCCTCCCAGAAAAGGTAGAGAGCTGGAGCAGAGACCTTTCTTTCAAAGACTGATATTGCTTTTATTTATGAAATGCGCTAAGTTAGGACCCCACACATGCACGCACCCACACACACCCACACACACAAATACACACATACATACACACAGAGTAGCTTGTATAGTTTTATTTAACCAAAACTCGTTGATTGAGTGACCCTGGAAAGTATTGTAAACTGATCTCAGCCAAAACAAAACCAGAATATTAGATTATTAGACGAAGAACTTTGTAAATAATTTATTCTAGTGGTTTAAGTAAGAAGAATATATTTTATGTTGTACGATTAAGTCCCGCCAAGGCGTAAATTATTACAGAAAATCGATATCCAAATAATAAAAGATGGAAAATTTTCATTCGAAATTTAAACTTTAGTGTTTTGATTTCTGCATGGTTTGCAAACTGTTGTCACTTTACAACAATAGTGACATGATTCTAACTGTTCTGTTAAAAAGCATGTTTTAGTAATTGAGGGATTGAAACTCCCACACTTCGTTTAATTCTTTTGCCACAGACAAAAAGACATAACACATTGATTATTTTTCACCATAAAACATCGGCGCTAAAACGCTACCGCCATCTGTTGAGAATACTGTGATGGGCAGTACGCTGAACAGATGGTGGTAGTGTGTAAACGCAAGGGAATTGACTATGCGCGCCACAGGTGGTGGTACCACAAACTAAAAACATTTAAATTTACCGTTAAATGCGTATTCGATGAACAATTTGCGAGTGTTAGATCTGTTTGTCTGTGGTCTTGCTTTCAAAATGCTCATGAATTGATTATTAATTGATGATTGATAACTTGATGTTGTCTCATAGTTCTTGTTACTGTTGAAGGTTCTAAATGTCAGCGTAAGTGTCCCCAAATTTGGGCCCATGTGCAAACTCTGAAACTGGATGGTGTAATGGTGTAGAAATTTGTATCATCTGGATGACGTATTCATTTTGAAATAACTGAAAATATAAGATTTTAATCAATGGTCACACCTTTGAGAGCCAATAGCCAACATCGACCACTTTCCCTTAGTTGTGAACTGTTGCACATAGGGCCACCTATCGAGTAATCTGAGAAACGTTTTGCCTAATTCCAGGCCATACATTGCATAATTTTAGGTATGTATCGCATACATACGCTTCAACGGATTGCGTGCTTTCAGGGGAAATAAACATCCAACATTGCTGACGTATCGACCAGAAGTATGATAAAGGCACGGGTAGAGAGGGACTATAATCAGTCAGTGTTTAAGCCCTTATAACTTTCAAGGGTGAAGTAGAGTTTCGCAATAGAAAGGGGATTGCCGCTATCACGCTGAACACTCTTAGGCCAATTAATCATGTTACCATGCTTCTGCGTTTTTTAATGGAGACATCCATCAGAAATTAATCACTTTGTCAAGCTTCTGCATTAATTTTCCATCAGATGTCAATGCTGGTGTTGGCGGTGACATCTATCGAAAACTACACATAATTTGTTTTCCGTTAATTGTTCACAGAGGACAGTGCAGTGCAAAGCATGTCTGGTACCTCTATATATACATTTAGATTAATATTCGAAGTCCCTCTTTTTTACACATTCTGCACACAAAATAAAACCGATTTCCATGAATGGGGTGGGGCAGAAAGTATCTTTTGTGCAGAATATGTAAAAAAGGAATGACTTCGGATGCTAATCAAAATGCATATATAGAGGTACCAGACATGTTTTGCAATGTCAGGTACTCTATTTTGTAGTCTGTGAGAGGGAAATCACGAATAGAGTGTCATCAAAATACATGGCATATTGAGAAATTGAACTAGTCAGAGCAAAATTTCTCTATCAAATTTGAATTTTTAGGCTCTCTGGGACTGGTAGTAAAGCAGGTAGAACTGTATGAAGAAAATAATTTTTATTTAATTGTAGCTTGTTTAACAATAATTTCCGGCAAAAAAAAATGAACGACAAAGTCCCTGACTAATTTATATAGGTTGTCGTTCACTTTTTTTTGACTTGAATATGCACCGGAAAGGAATTATTCCCAAACGAATTATCCACGACCCATACACATTTAAAAAATGTTGTATGGACACCGCATACGGAGGGGGTGGGCAAGAATAAAAAAAAACTGTCTACGTAGTTAGTGAACAGCCCCCTTTTCTACATATTCTACATGGAGTTGAAAAACTACCCAACATTAAGTATTTTTCCCTCAATTAACGGGTTCAGCCCAATAACCCAAATTTGAGTAAATCGCATGTAGTAGTTTTCATTTAAAACCAGCAAAAAAAAAAAACTTGCTTCTGAGGCTATTCTACCCAAAATTATGTTTAATTCACGCCAACTTGAGAATATGCAATTTACTCAAAAATAACTTATTGGGCTGAACTATATCGTTGGGTCGAATCTCTCGTTCCTTTTTTGACAACAATCACGAGTGCAAGTGAGAGGCTAAACTCAAAATTTAATAAAAAGAACTCAAATTTTGGGCAGTATTTTTTCTCTGTGTATGACAAACATACTTGCCATGCTCTGCCCCTAGATAGGAAATCTAATTGCATAAATTAGGGCTCCGACATTTTTCCTGTGCTTTATTTTGTAGTCTGTGAAAGGGAAATTAAATTTTGTGTGCCATTAATATTCATGGCATGTTGAGGGATTAGGCTAGTGATTTGAACTTGTTGGCTCTCTTGGGACTGCTAGGAAACCGGTTAAAAATGTATGGAAGAATACGGTTTTTATTTAATTGTTGCTTGTTCAACAATAATATCCGGAGAAAAGCTGAACGACAAAGTCCCTGACTGATTTCTTTTGGTTGTGGTATACTTTTTTTGACCTGAATATGCATCGAAAGCGAATTATTTCCACCTCTCTCAATTTCTATATGGGGATTTTTATTACTTCCAACCAGCGGAACAGCGCCATCTCTGTAGAAAATGGCCTGAGGATATGATTCACTGCGAGTAGAACAGAAATTTGAATAATGATTTAGAGCAATTCTGTGCCAAATCAGCAAAATACTCATTGGAAACTTTTCTCACGTTTCTGGTATGGGAAATAATGTGTTATCCACAAGTCCAGAAACCATTTCGACTCAGAACTAATCTTGCATAATGGCGTATGTGCCTTCATATATGATTTTTTTTTTCAAAAAAACATATTTCGAAAACCGTTGATTGCAATGAAATTGTCTCACGGTGTAAAAGAAAGGAGAACAATCTTGACGTACATAAGGGTTAAAGGACACCTATTTGTCAAATATGTGCATTTCAAAATGAATGCCTGGTGAACACGAGGGATGAACATGGCAGACATTTTAATCCTTTCTGTTCCTATTATACCTACTGTGCGCTGTTTGAGCTGCCGTGATGGACAGACGCCCGGTGAGATGAAGTGGGCTTAGGTTAAGGGGTAGGTAACATCGCACACCAGTCTTGGGTCATCTTTTTATCAGTGTACCGCAAGTGTTGCGATTATGCAGGTCATAGAGCAAGCTGCGATTGTTTGTAAAATATCCATCCCGGCAAATCGGTACTTCTGACACCTTGAATGTTTTGGTTGGAAATCGGAAGGATAAATCAGATTGAGGATAACGCGAGAAGTGGCGGGTGTTTGGAATTTTGGTGTTTTGTGTTCTTAGGATGATAAAAGTCCTGTGTTCTTGGGTTCTATAATGCCCTCAAAGGCAGACCAGAAACCTAGCATTTCGTGATGTGAAAAGCAACGGTGTATCAGTGGCCGGAAAGAGTTGAAACCGGTGGGGATCATTGTTGCAGACTGACTATAGAGGATGATGAATAGACTTATGTAGCTTGTTTTGTGTGAGTTGCGGCATTATTTGAATTAAGGGTATAATGGGGTCTTATTAACTGCCTCTTTCTCTTCAGCCCACTCTAGAACCTACATTTCGTATTTAGATTTATAAGTGAACTGCTGGTCTGAGTTTCTCAGTCAGTCAAACAGCACGTAATATTGTGAACAACTTCAATGACAGTTGTCCAGCAGTGCTTCCATTTTATTTACAACAATCCAATGCCTACGCGATTGTGCCGAGGGTGTTCCGATGGATGTGCCGAAGCTGTGCCGAATCTAACTTCGGCACGATGTACTGAGTGACTTACCCCTTTGCTTAGGTGCTTATAGCGATATCAACTTGCTTGACGGAGACAGTTTTTGGATAAATGTGTGGATGTTGGTGTGAAGGTCGAATGGACAAAAGATCGAAAGGTCAATAGATCAAATGATGAGGAAGGAGACAAATGGACGAATGATGATAAGGGGGTCATAAGGTCGAATGGACAAAATATTGAATGAACAAAAGGTCGAATGATGAAAAGGGGACAAAAGGTAAAATGAAAAAAGTCGAATGACTCAAAGGGGGACAAAAGGTTGAATGGCAGTTAATTTTGTTGTGAAGCACACTTGACCAGATGGCAAATAGTGGAAAGAATACGTATCAGACTGAAGACACCGTTTTATTTAATATTAAATGGCTGATCAATTTTTTTTATTATTATCCTAGAGAACGAGCAGTTATGAAAGTGGCCTATTCGGCTGCATGTAACCAAGGTAATTATCGACAGCCGTCTACTCTACAGCCTGTAGCTCACCGCAATGGACAAGGACAAACTGTTTCAAGCCCTTGCATCGGATTTCAACGGCTACATACGGGTAGTTTCGGGTCTCCTGCCTTAAACGCCAGCTGACCCAGCCTGCGTTGAAGTCGGGGTACTTCCCTTCCGGTTTAGAATCGACACTACAGTCGCCATTAAAGTGGCTGCCTAGTTGGCACAATATCGAGTAACGAACGGATCTATCATCTCGAGGAGGGGAATAGAGTCCTCCGTACAGCAGCCAACACCGACCTCACCCCAATAGCCAAGAGCCACTGGCTGGGTGGAAGAAGTTGACAAGAGACCGTACAACATCGAAAGTCTGATTAAGACCAGTTTAGGGCGGGAGACAACTCGGTGGCGCTCAGACATTCCGTTGCGGAGATGTTTTATTCTGGCTACCCCAGCAGTGCGCACCGTTTTACAGGCTATGGGTTTAAATCGCAATTGGAATCGGCACCGGAGTTGAAATCGGCACCGCTTGAACCTACCGCCACAATGCGCGGCTTTTTCTGCAGAGGCAGCGGCGATATTCGAAGCAGGAACCACACCATTTGACCGACCAGTCCTAATCCTTACAGATTCACACAGCGGAATCTCTCCTCTCAGGTCCAACATGCCACTCATCCGTGAATTCAGGGGATTATCAGATATGCCTCCCAAACACAGTGTTAGCAACCGGTGGAAACTAACGATTTTAAATTGGCTCACTACTTGACTAGCCTATTGGTCCCAAGCAAATCGATTAACGTACCCCATTCTACCG